AGTGTGTATGTCTGGGTTGAGTACCTAATATGTATTCTAGACAGATCATATAGGGTGTTGACTGAATTTAGATGTGTGTTGTACAAATCCAACCCGACCTATACACAACCTATTTGTCGTGATCTCGTTTTATATGAACTTTCCGAACATTCGACGATCAGCTTATACTTGCTTTTGCGTTGCTTGTTGTTTAGTCGTGTGAAGATATCTATTGTATTCTGTTTATTCAATGTGAAAGGTCATGTCAAGTCGTTGTGTATTAGTCTGTGCTTGTAAGGTTTTAGTTGATATAGTGTGATGTAGACGTGCATAGAGATTAGTTTATAAAGATTGGTTGACTGATCAAGTAATCATGTGTTGATAGTACTAATCTAGGTGGTTCTAATCGACGAGAATTGTTTTTGTTACTAAGATCCTATATGTAGGTAAATGTTATATATAGTTGAATGTTGATTGACTAGGTACCCTAACGGGTTACCGGAGCCCCGGCTCGAAGAGCAGGAGTAGGAACGGGGTTGTTTTTAGTCAGTAAGTGTCTGACACTCCCTCTCACCTAACCCAAAGCGGGGAAAAGTCATTGGATGATCTTTCTGCTTAAAAAAGGTACCGTAACAAGCTGGCTTTCAGGTTTTTTGCTAGATCTGAGAATTTTAAAAGTCGGAACACCCAAAAAGTCATCCATATAATCGAGCTTGATATCTCCTATTTTGACAAGCTTTTATTTACTCTTGATAATCTTTACTACATTTAATTTGACTTTTTCATTAACATATCTAACAACGCTATGTAGATAAACAGTCATAACATAACATAGTCACAAATTAATTCAGTTCTCGGTCAGTTGCAGAGATTCGATCAAAAGTTCGGGTTACGTTGTCCAGTGATGCTGTTAACATGCAATCTGCATACTAACCACTGTGATTACTACAGCTCATGCTACACCCGACATACTTTACAGCTCTTCATTTTAACCACTCCATAAATGTTCATTAGGATAGCAAAGCTGATATTAATTATTACCTCGTTTAAACACAACATATTGAGCTTTGTATGACTTCACGGTCACTATTAGGTTTGACTTCACCATTGTTGCGGTGGCTGGGCAACTCGCTGGCATGCAACGAGTCGCGGGTTCGATTCCCGCACAGAACAACACTTTGTGTGATCCACAAATTATTATTTCGGGTCTGGGTGTCATGTATACGTGAATTTGTATGTTTTTCAACGCACCCACGACACAGTAGAAAATTCTAGAGTGGCACAAAGTTATTTTTTTAAATAAGAGAAAGAAGAAAATGTTTATAATTTTTTTTCTACAGCGGACACGTGAGAACGCCATTAATATAGTTATAATACAGGTGGATTTTCCAGCTACATTAGAGTCTATTGTAGACGCTAGTAGTGAATGATCCAGTCACCGTAGCCAAAACCGACATGAAAGAATTATTGTGCTTTAATCTTGAAGAATAGACAGAAGTACCCCATAACTAATACGTCTGTCTCACACTCCCTCTCGCATAACCCAAGGCGGAAGAAGTCGTTAGATGATTTTACCTTCTTGAAATAATCTGCTTTTTACTAATTTTGTTATGAATCCCTTATAGAAAATAAACCTATTGCAATACTTGATTGTATTGATTATTTATAATTGAAACTGATTACTTATAATTAATTGACTATGTATATTCTTTGTGTGTTTGTGTAATTTATTATTTTGATTATTTGATGAATGAACGAATTGATTATTATTTTAATTTTATGATACTTGCTATAAAGTCAATTTGTTAATTTATATAATTTTGAACCTGAATTCGTTTTTAATGTAATTTTATGGATTTTATTATCTGAAATAAATTGGTATTATTATTATTATGTCTTTACCATTCACGGGACCACAGGGTCCCGGTCATTTGGGAGGCGTACGAGGGGCCGAAGCCAACTGCGCAGAGGCCCTTTAGACAACTTTAATATAAATGTAATGGACACACAAACCGGCGACTATCCCTGTATGCACTATGGAAATGCACCCAAGGACAGTCCCCGGTTAGTGTAGAACTATTGTGAATAATGGAAAAAAAAAGGTAGGGCTATGGATGGGTTGCTGTGGACTGGTAAATTAGGAACTATGGATGACTATGACACCTGCCGAAACAATGTAATTATAACACGTAAAAATGGCAGGCGGAGACTCGCCAACTCACCGACCGGGCCCCGGGAATGGCTGCTAGATATAGCAACAGAGGGGCAACGAGAATGTGAGTGGCTGAAGGGTTAAGAAACTACCACCGCTTTCTACTCAGATCATCTGCTCCAGCCGAAGCTTCCTGCATCCCTGGCCCACTCGCGACTTCGAATGTTTTCTTACCCTCCGAGCAGGATCACTGCTCTCGCGACTCCACTCTGGACGGCCAATGAAGGCAAGCCAGAGGTGGGAGACCTGTTCCTTGTCATCGTTCACTCCAGCCAGCCAATTAAGGCAAGCCGGAGAAGAAGGAACGGTGACCTCTCCCTGGAGCACTCGGGATGATGGTAGCCCGCGGGATCGCTAATGCCCGTCACCTCGCCTCAAGGTGCCCTGCGGGCTTATTTATTTATTATTATTATTATTTATATAATAAGGACTAGAAAAGGGTATCGCTTCATGTCCAACAATGTAAGCGAGACATCAAACTAATCATTAACTCCTGACTCCTGTACCTTTAATTTGTGTCAAACGTTAAACTATCAATTGTGAGCGGTCACCGTTTATTAGGGATGGACTAAGTAAAAAAAAAGTGTGTACGTATATGTCGATATTTATTGTATTAAAGTTGCTAAGGTACGATAGTTAATGTCGAACAAAAAGCTTAACCAGTCATGTACGTGTTAAAAATATATTTTTACGGTTTGAATTCATTTATTTCTAAAAGATTACAAATCACTTGTACAGAAATAAATACTTAAACTAATTTTACATTTGTTGTGTCACAATTTTATGATTTTAACATTAACATAATATTTTTATAAAGACAAAGTAAGCAATTAGGTACTTAAATATATCGTAATACTGATACAGGTTCGACATTCCAAAATAAATATCGAATATAAAAATTATATGAAATCGATTACTCTTACTTTCTGTTTAGATATATCTGCAGCTGTAGCCAAATGCCATTTAGTGCTTGTCTACTTGTAGAATAAAAACCCAAATTATATGGAATTGACGTAAATGTTGACACTATTATTATTATTATTAATACACTGGAAGCATCGTGCTCTTCAGAAATGATGATGATGAATAAATTAGGAAATCTTCGTAAACATAAAAACTGCAATACCCATCAGTGGACTTTTATAAGCTGTTAATGGTGAGGCTAAGGCATCGAAGACATTTCACAGTGCAGTTGCAATGAGTAACGAAACAGACTTGATAACAATAATAACATAGTGCATCAATCTTTATAAGGTTAAAGCTCAGTCAATACATTTTATTGTTATCTCTTTAATGTGACAAATAGCTTACAAACAAAGTTATAATCACAACATCACGCTATTTATGATGAATGAGGGAGCTTGAACTACATTAAAATTGTAGTTAAGGTTTTAATTTATGATGTTGTTACTATCGTCTCGACTGCCTCGTTGGCCGAGTGGTCGCAAGTGCGACTGCCGGGCAAGGGGTCTCGGGTTCGATTCCCGGGTCGGGCGAAGTATTACTGGGTTTTAAAATAATCTCAGTAGTAGCACGGAGTCTGGAATTGTGGCCGGTATATGGCAACAGGCTTACCCCCTATTACATGGGACTCATAACATAAATAGTATAAAATGGGTGTTACATTGTACAGTGGCATAATGTGCACCTCTGCCTACCCCTTCGGGGATAAAAGGTTATGTTATGTTTATTGCTACTATCTTTAAACTGTCAAACACCGCGAGAACACCGGTGACCGCAGCCTATTGTTCTTTAATTGTGTCTATAATGACGGTACTCAAAGAGTTAATATAGAACTGCATTCTATTTTAGAATATATACATGAAGGCTGATTTCTCAATTATTTCTTTACTGAGCAATAACTTTGAATTTTTGACAATTCTTCAACTATCAAATGTCAATTTTATTCTACAGTTATGAATTACCCAAATAATGTTTGAAAAATCGGCCCTAAAACTTTTAAAATTCGAACATGTCGCGATTTATCGCCTGGCTACTATGCACATCTGTGCCTTTAGCCAAACGCCACTTTAGCGCTTGCGAATGACATTGACAATTGTCAAAATTTACGTCAATTCCATATAATTTGGTTTCCTATTCTACATGTAGACAAGCGCTAAATGGCATTTGGCTACAGCTGCAGGTTACTTACATCTTCATGGAATTACAATAAGACGGCTAAAATACAATCACATATCGTTTGAATTAAGGTAAGTGTTTAAATTATTTCCAAAAGTAGTGCATAAGAGCTCCCACTATTAACAAAATAAGCTTAACTTCCTCGTTGACTGTCTCGTTGGCCGAGTGGTCGCAAGTACGATTGCCGGGCAAGGGGTCTCGGGTTCGATTACCGGGGCGGGTAAGAACTACTGGGTTTTAAAAAAAATCCCAGTGAACAAAAATAGTGAAAAGTGATTTTTATTAGATTGTATAGTAGCATTAAGTGCCGTAATGAGCACCTCTTGCCTAAATGATAAAAGGTCTTATGTTATGATATGCTCAACTTCCTTGTATGGCTCATACAAGCCAGTCTGCGGCGAAGGTGTGACTTGACAACAAAAATCACAGTCTAGTTTATTGACTTCCATTATCTTATACATTAAAGAATTGAAACGTCAGTTGGTAACCAATAAAGAATTATAATACTTATTGATAACCTATACTTTCTTTACATTGTATTGCCCTTTTAATGTACCGATATTAGGTACAGGAGAACGGCACTAGAAGATAACTGTGATTGGATACTTGTATAAAAGGGGATGCATACTTAGTAGGAGCACAGTTGAACTCTCACTGAGTCGACTCCACGATGAGGGCTGTCGTATTATTGGTGGTGTGCCTGGCCGGCCTGGCCATGGCTAGGCGTGATACCGACGACTATAACACGAACAACTTTGGTAAGAGAATTCTTAAATTCTTCTCTTTTTTCTGATCATCATCATATCAGCCATTAGACTGCTGAACATAGGTCTACCCCAATGACTTCCAGATAGGCCGGCTGAGAGCCGAAACCTGCATCCATCCTTTTTGATCGTCTTTTGTAAATTCTTAGTATTTTAACTTTACAAATACAAGATTATTGTTTATTTTTTAAACCAAAATGAATTTTGAAATTTATGTATAGTCCATTCCTAACTATAAAACAATTAACACTCTGTATTTGTAATTTTTCAAAATTTAACTTGTGATTTGTAATATGAGACGTCATGGAAAATTCAACAAAAATTACATACATTACAAATAGGTGTTTAGAGCGAAATTGGCATCATGTTTCAAATAAAACATCATCTTTAATTTCTGTTTAATTTTCAGTGGCAATGGACATCAAGCAACGGCAACTGGTGATCTTGAAGCTGTTGAACCATGTGATGGAACCCCTAATGTACAAGGACCTGGAAGACTTTGGTAAAAACTACAAGTTCGAGGACAACTTCGACCGTTACACTGTAAGTACCACCATAACCATAAACACTGTATGTTATTTGTAGCTCTACTTTCGTAATCCTCATTTCGTACATTTACTTTTCAGTAGTTTAATTATTGCTTTCGTGAAAAATGGGGTTATTACTTACACGAGATATTTTTTGTCCTAATTTTAATATTTTATCATACACTACAATTATTTTTATACAATGTAACCTTTATTTATATTTTTTCAGAAAACCGATGTCGTGAAAGACTTTCTCAAAATGCTGAAGGTTGGTTTCTTACCTCGTGGTGAGATCTTCACTCTGCACATTGACCGCCAGCTTAAAGAAGTAGTCAACATGTTCCACATGCTGTACTACGCCAAGGACTTTGACACCTTCGTCAGGACCGCTTGCTGGATGCGCCTGTACCTCAACGAAGGCATGTTCGTATACGCTCTCACCGTGGCTGTTAGACACCGTGAGGACTGCAAGGGTATCATTCTGCCTCCTCCTTATGAAATCTATCCATACTACTTCGTACGCGGTGATGTCATCCAGAAGGCTTATCTATTGAAAATGAAAAAAGGACTTTTGGACTTGAAACTTTGCGACTTCTACGGAATCAAGAAGACCGACAAGGATATCTACATCATTGATGAAAATGTATACGACAAACGTGTCTACCTCAACCATGATGACAAACTCCGCTACTTCACTGAAGATATTGATCTAAACACTTACTACTACTACTTCCACGTCGACTATCCATTCTGGATGAAGGACAGATTCATGGACAAGACAAAGACTAGGCGTTTCGAACTCACAGTATACATGTACCAACAGATCTTGGCCCGATACTACCTGGAGCGTCTTTCAAACGGATTAGGTAGGATAAAGGACTTGTCCTGGTACAAACCTATCAAGAAGGGATACTGGCCTTGGTTGAAACTGCACAATGGTATTGAATTTCCTGTGAGATTCAACAACTACGTGATTGCTCGTGACTACAACCTTGACGTCATTCGTCTGTGCGACGAGTATGAAAAGATTATAAGGGAGGCTATCATCAAGGGATACATTGAAGTAAGTAATAGAACTAAATCACTATTCTACTAATACTTCGTTTTTATAAAATATAAAATTTTATTTGAAACTGACAGATTTTTTTTAAATTAAATGTTGCAAATATATAGTAACTATACATTATTTTTGCAGATTAACGGTTTGAGACTGGAACTGACCAAGACTGACGATATGGAAGTCCTCGGAAAACTGATCTACGGCAACATTGAAAAGGTTGACGTTGATAAGACCTACGTAGACTCATACCGCTACCTGCTGATCGTCATGAAGGCCGCTATCGGTCTTAACACTTTCTACTCTGACAAGTAAGTAATTTTTTTTTTATTTACGTCATATATAAAGTTAGTCACGCATGGTTGAAGCGCTGTTATACTGATATACTTGTATGTTACTGAACATATTGTTATGATACGAGTCTTAAGTCGGGCATGATTCAGAACTACCTGCTATAACTGAAATCTTCAGTAAAACGAAACAAATTTTCTCGACATTTTTGTATTTGAATCAACCTGTTTCTCTATGTCAAGCCTGTGGCATATCTTAGTAGGTATAATTCAAACAATTATTTACTATTTTACAGGTACTTCGTCGTTCCTACTATCCTCGACACTTACCAGACGGCTCTTCGTGACCCAGTATTCTACATGCTGCAGAAACGCATCATCGATTTGGTGTGCTTGTATAAACTGCGTCTACCAAGCTACACTAAGGAGGACCTCTACTTCCCCGGTGTTAAAATCGACAACGTGAACGTTGACAAGCTTGTCACTTACTTCGACGACTATCTGATGGACATGACCAATGCTGTATACCTGACTGAAGACGAACTCAAGAAGACCAGATCCGACATGAAATTCTTCGTCCGCAAACGTCGCCTCAATCACCAGCCGTTCAAGGTTACCTTTGACATCTTGTCTGACAAATCAGTCGACTGTGTCGTCAGAATATTCCTCGGACCTAAGAAGGACCACATGGGCCGTCTCATCGATATCAACATCAACCGCCTTAACTTCGTTGAATTAGATACCTTCCTATACAAACTGACCACTGGCAAGAACACGATCGTCAGGAACTCTTATGATATGCACAACTTAGTCCGTGACCGCATCATGACCCGCGACTTGTGGAAGAAGGTTGAGTCCATCACTGACATGAGAGATTTCTTCATCAAGGACTTGAGGAACTACCACACTGGTTTCCCAACCAGGCTTCTGCTTCCTAAAGGTTTCGTTGGTGGTATGCACATGATGCTCTACGTTATTGTCACTCCATTGAAACTGGTTGACAACGTTGATTTGAATGTTTTGGACGTAAACCGCAAGGACTTCGTGTATGACTTCAGGTCAACTGTTCTCCTGGACAAGATGCCTCTTGGTTTCCCCTTCGACCGTCGCATTGACGTTGGCAACTTCTTCACACCTAACATGAAGTTTGTTGATGTCACAATCTTCCACAAGAAGCAGACTTGTGACATGAAGACCAGGTGGAACCGCTATGTGCTGAAAAACTACAACCTGGTAGACAGAACCCCGATTGAGTCGGACACGTACTTCGTGGACACCGACCTTAACATGAAAGTTGACCGCAACCGTAACCTCTTCGACATATAAATGAGTAACTGATGACTGATTAAGTTAATGACTGTGAATGAAAGCAATTACAAAATGAAAAAAAAATAAACTGAATTTTTTAATGAGATGTTTGTCTATTATTTTTGTCAATAATTAATGCTATTTCAAATCTATGAATAGCCTTGTAATTCAAATTCGATTCCAAATACAGATTGAATACCGTTAAGTTTTCCATTTTAGTTAACCGCAATAATATGTAGTTAAATGATTTGCCCAAACTTATTTATCACAATACAAGGCACAATCTTGAGTAAGATGTTTCTTTGCATAATTATTTGACTGTGTCAGTAAAAGTACACAATATAGTACACTAGTAATAATTGACATAGTACACTCATGTAGTATGTCAATTATTTTACATTATGCATTATTAACTGTAACTACAAAATAAATCAACAAAATGTGAAAACTGCACTCACATTTTTCATTTTTATTTATGCTACTTGAAACGTAAAATATTTTTACTTTGTGATTTATTGAATGAACATTTTTGAATATGAAAACTGAAACGCGAAATAATAAACTAACTTAACGAATAACATTAAATATACCAACCAATTAGCACCTGATACATCACCTGCCTATACAAGAAAACTAGAGAATGTCATATTTTTTTATTATCTAAGTACGGTACCTACCTGTAAACCTACATTAGTACCTAATTAAAAGTAATAAACACCCAAAGGGCTGTCCATGTTATTTAAGATACTATAAAAACATCTAGGTACTGTTGCTTCAGTTCATTCAAGGGTAAACAAAAAAAAATCTGATTTAATTAAACATTTAAAAATACCATTTACCAACATCCATTGAACAAGCGTGGTGATTAATGCTCAAACTTTCTCCGTGTGTGTAGAAGCCTTTGGTCAGCAGTGGCCACTTACCTATAGGCTGTTAATGATGACAATAGTGATTTAAAAAACATATAGGTACTTGATTCTGATATTGGTAATCCGTGCTTAAAAGAATTGATAAACAAGTTTGATGTTATGACCAAGACGCCAGAGAAAATAGTCACATCACTTCTTAACACCGTGTTTAAAGAGAGATGTTCCTTTTTTCTGTAAGATTAAAAATAACAATAAAAATTCTGGTTCACAAAATACTTCTAAAACCTAGCGCTTTTACATTATGAAAACTGAAATGAGTAACGTAACGCCACCTGTCTTCACTGGAAGTATCTTCAGTGGTGACATCTTAAACAGTTCTATTAAACTCGACTAGGTGGCGCCGTAAGTAAAAAATGAGAGTTCCTCAATTTTATAAATCTGACTCATAGAGTCAGGTTTTTGCGTATAGACGCATAACGTTACATTTTTTGAAGACCCAATGGAGTAGGCAGACAGGCACATAATTATTTTCAGCAGTTATATTATAGGTGTCCTTTAAAAAGAGGGTTGGATTGTTAACCCACCTGGGTGCAGTTTCAGGCTCTATGATTCCAACTATAGATATGTCAGTTATCCTATCTGAGATTCGAACCCGAAGCGTGCAAGAAGAATATATTGTCAAACACTATGCTTAGTTCTAAAAGTTCACAAAATTGATGAAAATGTCTTTTTTATGGGATAAGCCGGTCAACGAGTAGACGGATCACTTGATGGCAAGCAATCGACGCACACCACCTGTAACACCAGAGGCGTTACAAATGCGTTACCGGCCTTTTATAGATTAGGAATTTGAGGATTGTCGGAGATTTTGGTATTGGCAATATTAGGGAAAGTGGGGGGGGGGGGGGCGAGATAATGTAGCCTCTGGTAACCTCACACACACGATCAGATACAACGCAAGCTTTGTTTCACGTCGGTTTTCTGTGAGACCGTGGTATCACTCCGGTCGAGCTGCCCCAGCATGGCTCTCCCACATTTAAATTAAATCTCTGTTTATTTGATACGTTGGTACAGTGGTGATAAAATCTTTTAAATCAAATCAAATCAAATCAAAAATGTTTATTTGCTAAAATACGGTACAAAAGGTGTTACAGTAAATTTTTTTTTTCCAGCGTATCCTGCCGTATATGGCGTGCAAATTTATTATTAAAATTACACTATCAAGATTCTATCGTCTTATCTTCTAAATAGTCCTTAATACTATAGTAACACTTGGATAGCAAAAGTTTAAAAAGCATTTTCTTAAATAATGTCAATGGTAATTCTTGTAAACTATTTGGTAATTTATTATAAATGATTATGGACATACAATATACATTTTTCTTAAATAATTTTAATTTTATTCGTGGTAAACGAAGTCTGTCTTTATGCCGTGTTCGGCTATTTGGTCTGTCTTCCAGAGTTTCAAATAGAATGTAATTTCTTTTTACAAAAGTACATATTTCAAAAATGTATAGACATGGTAAAGGTAGGATATTTAATTTTTGAAACAGTGGTTTACAGCTGTCTAAAAAATGAGCTCCACAGATTGCTCGAATGCTTTTTTTTTGGGATTTAAAGACTCTATCAACCTCCACTGAGTTCCCCCAAATTATTATACCGTAACGAAGTACGGACGATACATAGCCATGATACGCAAGCATTGTCGTCTGATGATTTGTTGTTTGTCGAATCCTTTTTAGTACATATACAAAACGATCAATTTAATGAACTGATATACATCTTTTGTTACTACGGAGATTTAAAAGGCTTGTAATGTTTTACCTGTTAATGAGTATAAGAAAAGTAACGGATGGTAAGAATCCCATGTAAAAGAAATTAAACACAAGCCACTCAGCTCAGCAATAGCATTCACCACTCAACTAACTTACCAAATGTACAGAGATTTCGAGAAATGAAGCGACTTATCAAATTTATTAATGTATTATAACTCTATATTAAAAATAATCAACAATATGTAATAAGTACCAACTTGGATATAAAGAGATTAACATTTTTATTATCAGTTCTATTGAACCCGGTCTGACCTTACATATTTGTCTTAGGGCCTGATCACTTTCACAAAACGTGACTATGAATAAAACTAAGTAAATAACTTGAATTTGTCTGCTTTTAAAACATCTATGGGTTACCGGAAAAGTTAGGTTCGAGAGATTAGCGGGATCAACTAAAGTGCTCTACAGTTTTTTAATTAAAACACTAGGATTATCTTCCGTTTTGTGGAGGCGTTTATAAACACACAATTAGGTACATCACACTCAGACCTTGAACTAGATTTTGCGGATCACAAAGACATTTTTCTGTAGAAAAATCGAACTCGTGACACACAAGTCGAAGTACTTCACTGACTGTGCAATGCATCAATAATACATACATAACATAACGCCTTTTTATCCCCAAAAGGGTAGGCAAAGGTGCACATTTCGGAACTTAATGCCACTGTACAATGTAACACCCACTTTTCACTATTTATATTAATATATGTATTTGTTTATTTTCCATACAATTCATACTGAATATACTACTGTATTATAGTTGAATGCTATACTATGATACAGTAGTGGTAAAACTTTTGCCCAGAAAGACAAAAAGCAATAGAAAAAAAAACAAGTGACGTGTCAGTCACGTCATGGTCAAAATGACAAGGGTAGCAACATAGTATTATCTCCTTCTTCTTAATTTTAAGTACTACGTATGGAATTTTTTTTACGGGGGAAAAATCATCGAATGACTGCTCCCGCCTGGGTGAGGCGGGAGGAAGTGTCAGACTCTTACTGACTAAAAACCACCTCGTTCCTTCTCCTGCTCGTCGAGTCGGAACCCCGGTAACCCGTCAGGTTCTCCCTGTTGAAATAAGCTTGCAACTAGTATAGGCAGACAATCAGGCCTAATAAATCAATATAAAATGCAGAAAATGAATCAGGTCAAGTGGTCACAAATGCGGCAGCAGTGTGAGATGTCTTGGATTCGATTTCCAAACCGACGAAATATTGTTATATTTATTAAATTATTTTGGTTTTATGAAAAATTTCCCTATAATAATATTCAGTACTAATTTAATTTCACCCAGGCGGGAGAAATAATTCGTTGATACCCTTAAAAAATACTAATTTGATTACACGAAGTATTAAACTATGTTCGAATAGGACAATACAATCACCCCCTATTACATGGTACTCAAAACATATCTGATGTAATGATCCATTTTGTGATCTACCTACCCCTTCGGGATTAAAAGGGAACAACCTAGTGTTTATACAACACGCTTTAGTTTAGGTATCTCTTTAATGAGAAATGAAAGTTTATTATCTCATTATGTATTATGTTCAATAATAAATATTATTATGTCTGCGTTGAAGATAATTTTTGTACCAAAAATTTAGTTCAACGTGACTTGGAACTTGACTTTGACATAGGTCAGTTCGGCCAACGACAAATAATTATGATGGTTACATTGTATTACTTTAAACGATAACAAGTTTATATCACGCGTTATTTCTGTTTTATAAATATCTTTATCTTTAAATTGTGTATGCTTCATAATATTTTGTGAAAGTTATGAAATTGAACTTATTTAAATTAAAAATTCAGTATTAGGTTTGATTGGCACAGCATTCTGAAAATAATTATTCAAATTATATATTGGTTTTGATGCCTACAATGTACTCTCGTAAATACTAATTACTCGTAATACTCCTCGATCAAATCGAAAGAGGAGCTAGTTGCTTTTGGATACCTTATTAGGTACTAACTACCAAACACAATATGTTCAAATTATGACGACACGGTTAGTGCGGTGGCTGGGCAACCGGCTACCACGCAACGTGTCGCGGGTTCGATTCCTGCACGAAACAACTTTTTGTGTGATCCACAAATTGTTGTACTGGATTTAAGTGTCATATGTATGTGAACTTGTATGTTTGTAAACGCATCCACGATACAGGAGAAAATCCTAGGCCTAATCCAAAGTTTATAAAAAAAATTAAAAAATAAATATAGATTCCGTGTTAACAACAACTAACCCGGGACAGATAGCAAACCAATAATCATCAAGAGACTGTGACAATCTACTAATAGACTACGAGCCTCCATGACATAAGAGGGATAACCATACCTTCCATACAGATAGTTGAAGATCCATGTTATACAGGCAGTTAGCCATAATTGTCTATTTAATTGGAATGTGAGACGCTATATTTTGGCGTTGTCGTGGTGGCCCGGAGGTTTAAGACGCCCACTTCTCATGCATGAGGGTGCAGGTTCGAAACCTACCAACGGCAAGTACCAATGTGACTTTTTCCGAGTTATACGTACTTTCTAAGGTTATTTAGACACCACTGACAAACGGTGAAGGAAAAACATCGTGAGGAAACCTGAACTTATAATTTCTAATTATAAGTTTGAAATCGCCAACCCGCATTGAGCAAGCGTGGTGATTAATGCTCTAACCTTCCCCTTGTGAGAAGAGGCTTTGCTCAGCAGTGGGCATTTATAGGCTGTTGATGATGATATTTTGGCGTAACACCATGGTGGCACAACCAATCGCCGTGACCAACAAAATGTATGCAGCTTTATAAAGTAGTAGTATGGCGTTCGATTTGGCCGCGCCACCAGGATGTTCGCTTGGTTCTTCAACCCATCATCTGCATACATTATGTTGGTATACATATTATTGATAGCGCTGATTGGTTTTGTCATCATGATGTCCTGGTGAAATATAGTTCTTGGTCAATCCTTACATTACCCACGAAAGGAATAAGGTTGGTTACAAATGTTGGCCGTTGGTTGGCAAAGGACTTAATCACCATAACAGACAAACCAATCATCGATGTAGAAATTTAGAACTATGTAGTATGTACTGAATATTTCGCCAAAGCATTTATATTAGACCGTGACTTTGGTATGCAGAATACGGAACAGCTGCCAAAACTGATCTGAACAATTGAAGCTTACTAACGCACTCGCTAGGTTTTATCTCTAAGGAATGTATTGTAAATGCAACATTGTTGTTCATGTTGTTGGGCTAATATAAATGTGTCGCTGGTGTAATGATTGCAAGTCTATCTTCGTTGTATAAGGATTTACGTTACATTCTCCAAGTCAAGTCAATATCATTTATTTCAATTAGACCAGGAAGGCACTTTTGAACGTAAACAACAAAAAAAATTAGAAGCAAAGCTAGTTGCTCATTCCAAGGTGCAGATTCCTATGGAGAAGAACGAGCAAGAAACTCCATAGTTTACTCTTTTTCAATCGGGTTTACAATACAATTCTCTAGTTACATAGTATAGTCCACAATTGTGAATTAAAAATTATGTGGTAAGATTTATAGATTTACCTATATGCAGTATTTTGTGTACATATCGCTGTGCAATAATACTATGTTATGTTGACATAGTTTTGCCTACGCCTCTTGTAAATTAATTACATTTATTATTTCCGAGGTACTTATTATAAGACAGCTTCGGTGACCGACTGATCGCAAGTGCGACTGCTGGGCACGGGGTCTCGGGTTCGATTCCAAGGTTGGACAAAGTATTACTGAATATTAAAAAAAATATATCAGTAGTAGCACGGAATTTGGAATTGTGCCCGGTATATAGCAATAAGCTCACCCCCTATTACATGGGACTCATAGCATAATTAGTTAAAATGGGCTTTACATTGTACAGTGGCATTAAATGCCGCATTGTGCACCTCTGCTGGCGTGATGTTATGTTGTGCTATTAATATGATGTGATATGATCTTAATATTACGGTACAATAAGTAACACTTATAATTATTTTATCAATAAGTTCTTGTCTCTAATAAGTGTAAACATGTTATTGAATTTATTATCGCATACAGACTACAACAAACTTTTATTAATAGCTAAATATAGAAATTGTATCCAACACTAACAGGTAATAATTACACATACTTACAACATAATAAGGACTAATTTACTATTCGGTGATATTAAGTACGACCATCGAGCAAGAACTCCCGAGTTGCCAATAGGGTAGTTTCCTAAACTTTATTTATTAATGGCCATTAGTCCATCTGGTAGATTAGCCGCATAGGACTTAAGGGTTGCCGGGCCTCTGCCTCGAAGGGCAGGAATAGGAACGGGGTGGTTTTTAGTCAGTAAGAGTCTGACACTTACTCCCGCCTCACCTAGGTGGGAGAAGACATTCGATGATATCCCCCTTAAAAAAAATATCTGGTATATTAATTTAAAACATTAGACACGTATCTTTTCTCTACTAATAAAATTAGATACTTTCGACCATATTTTGAAATATCGTATCGCCTATATATCGTATACTGCCTCGTTGGCCGAGTGGTCGCAAATACGACTGCCGGGCAAGGGGTCTCGGGTTCGATTCCCGGATCGGGTAAAGAATTACTGGGTTTTTAAAAATCTCAGTAGTAGGACGGAGTCTGGAAATGTGCCCGGTATATGGCAATAGGCTCACCCCCTATTACTAGAGAATCATAACATAAATAGTGAAAAGTGGGTGTTACATTGTATAGTGGCATTAAGTACCGTAATGTGCACCTTGGCCTACCCCTTCATAAATAAAAGGCGTGATGTTATGTTATGTTAACTTATAACACATTATTATTTTTTATGTAAGTTTATATTCGTAGAACGAGACCAAGAGTAAACTTACACAAATTGCACTATCATTACAACATATCAAGTAACCCAATGATTCACTCACTTAGGGCATTAGACCAATGAACTGTGAACTCATTATTTCACAAGTTGCATTAACATTCATAACTCTAGCGCATTCAACTATTCTTATCAATTAACTACAACTAAATGTCTATGAACTTTGAAAATTCTTTGACTATATATTGTTGAGATTAGTTCACAAAATCACAGTCAATTAGGCAAGATGAAGACGTTAACAGTGATTTTAGTTATAACTGTTCTAGGGATACAAATATCGGGGTACTTAATACAAGTGCCTACTCCACCTCCAGTATTGTTTAGAGATCCTGGTGAGTATCTTTTTACCCGACTTCAAAAAAGGAGATTCTTTGTTCAAACTGTATGTATATATTATGTATGTATGTATATTTTATATATGTATATATGTTTGTGAGGGATTATTTCAGGATTGGCTGAACCGATTTCAAACCGTTTTTCAGGAAAGTGGTTGTTACTGAATTACATAATAGGGTAGACGACTAATTTTTATTTTAATGTCCGTCTGATAGATTATTTAAAAATATTAGACACGTATTTTTTCTTTTCTCACAGAAACGAATAGTTTCGAAGATATATTGATTTGAAATGTCGCGTGACGTCACTTCTCAGTACATTTTATACTAAGAAATGACGTTTTAGCCCCCACTCCTAAACTTTGATTCGTTTTATATAAGTATTGTTTTATTATACGACAAAATAAAAAAATACGTGTCTAATATTTTTTCATTACCTAACTTACGGACTAATTATATTTTTAATTTTCATACCCTGTTATCATCCCCATTCCTCTACACGTGACATGATAAATAGATTTTTTTAGTGTAAATATGTGAATGTGCAAGTTACCTATTATTATATTTATTAATTTATTTCATTTTTCTTTTTTTTTCAGTCCCCTCACAATGGCTACACTTACAAAAGTTGATGATTCCTCTATTCGAAAATGTATGCGAAGACAGTACCGATCCTGTCATACGAAAACTGGCTCAAGATTTCACCATAAACTCTGCAGACTACTTGGTAAGAAAATGTTGCCAACTACTCATTAATTAGCAAACGAACTAAATCATTTTATTTTTCAAACACATCATATTTGTGATTTAATTACAGGAACCAAATGCAATTACAACTTTGCAAAAGCTTATGTCAGCTGGCTTATTGCCCAAGGGAGAAATTTTCAGTGAATATAATCCTGAACATATGAAGCAGCTGAAAATTGTGTACGAAGCTTTTTACTCAGCCAAGAACTTTGATGTGTTTTATAAAGTCGCTGCTTGGGCGAGACAAAATGTGAACTGCGGACTTTATGTGAATGCTATCTACATGGTTATTCAAAGTAGAAAAGATATGGCGAAGTTGTCCATACCAGCGCCATACGAAGTTTTACCAAATTACTTTGTACGTAAAGATGTTCTTATCAAAGCAACTTCCATTCTTAGTGGACAAGAAGTTACCCCAACTGAAGGACTTCGTGATGAAGGAAATGCATATTACTTAGATGCCAATTATACTGGCATATTTTACAACAACGAGGATGATTCAAAGTTGGCCTACTTCCGTGAAGATGTTGGATTAAATTCTTATTACTATTTAAGAAAACTGAGGCTCTCGCCATGGTTTAACAGTAATATAATTGATCGATATGGGGAAAATATTTACCAAATGATGAAACAATTTGGTGCGAGATATAATTTGGAGAGATACGCTAATGGTTTTCCGGAGATAGATGGTATTGACTGGAATTCACTGCCTGATATTCCTTACGATCCAGAATTAGTATACTCAGATGGGAAGGAATTCAATCATAGGACAATACCGCTAGAATTCCCAGTAAACGATGAAATCACTTTATTACAAACCATAGAAAATAATGTAGCAGCTGTCGTTGGTCACATGGTGCGTATCTATATCAAATCTATAATTATGAACAATAACTTACAATATGTAATTCTTCATAAATACATGTATTACCATTAACATTAATTATTAAAGAAACATTTCTTTCAGCGCCAGAGTGGATACAATAAAACACAGATATTAAATCATTTAATGGAAATCCTAGTCACGGGAGAACGGAGTTATGAGACATTGGCTCGCCAGCTCCTTGGCAAAGATCGTACCAACAACGGGTAATTTAAGCATTGATTAATTTGTATTTGATGATGGCTTTATAATAAATAATTACAAACTATTTATGATATACAACTATTTCAGACACGTTTCGGTACTGGAACACTACATGACTTCACTGCGGGATCCAATGTTTTGGAAGATAAACAAGAAAATAGTTGACCTCGTGGATAGTGCTCTAAAACTGTTGCCCACATACTCAAGAACCGAACTATACTTCCCTGGAGTAGAGATCGTAAATATTGACGTGAAAAAGATGATGACAGCGTACGATTACTTCGAGTTCGACGTTACAGACGCACTAAAATTAGACGATAGTAAGTCGACGTTCAATGTTAAAATAGGTCAACCTAGATTAAATCATAAGCCGTTTACAGTCAAACTTAACATATCTTCTCTTGTATCTAAAAAGGGCTTAGTTAAAATTTATTTGGGACCTAAGCTATTGCCTGGAGAGCTAGCTGCTAAAAAGAATCTTTTTACTCTACTTGACGTATTTGAAGTAAATCTTAAAGTAGGAACTAATATAATATCTAGGACATCCGATGACATGCAGCACTTTTCTTCAGACTTTGTGTCGGTTAAAACTATTCGTAAAAATATAGAAGATGCTGAATTCGGTTTGAATTCTTTACCTTTAAAACGGATTGAAGATCAGATTGGGTATCCAACAAGACTTATTTTACCAAAAGGTCTATCTCAAGGATTACCTATTCAAATTTTTGTATTTATTGCGCCATTTACTAAAGCCAGTGTTAGCAGTTCATACTCAGCAAGTAATGCAGAATTCAATTCTGCAATTTTATCACCTGGGTATCCTCTAGACTTGATGGTTGAAGATAAACAACTATTCGGATTACCAAACGCATTGATCAAGTATGTTACAATTACTCAAAAAGGTGATAGCAAAGTAGAAAACTATGGAGGACCTGGTGTTACAAAGCAATGGTATGGTACAAACACATATGATCCATCAGCACGACCGAACTACTCTGCAAATACCCGAAAATCATTTGATTACAATGCTAAGAAAGGGCCTTCCAAAACTGGCATTGATGACAATGGGGTAAGTGAATATGATATTGCTCCTGAAGATTCTGTGAATTACCTTGAAGAGCCTTCAAAAGGAAGCTTTGTACCTAAGGCATTAAATGAGCACAATGTTGCGACAGTTCGGTCCTTAAACTTTATGAAATTTGACACACCGTTAAACAACAATGCAGATATATCAAAATTAGATAAAAAGGACGAGAATGTCAAACAAGTAGACAGTGATAAATATACTACTGTAAAAAATGAAGAAGTCGATACAGAAGTGGTAGTACCAGAAAAGGCAAATGTTGAACCTGATATTGAAAATAAAGACCAGGAAATATTAACTATGCCACGTCTGCTAAAGTCATCGGCACAATATGACTATGCATCAAAGTCTAAATATAGGGAATCGTTCGATTACAAAGCAAAGAAAGCGCAATTTGACAAGAAAGATTATACTTCAACAAGAGTAGATTACAAAAAATATAACTCATACAAGCCTCCAGTAGAAGAAAAAAACTTGATTGCTACTACACCGGCGCCTGTAATAGATGAGGATATTGTTAATGATAAAGATATGGTTGATGTACTATCGGATCAACCATCATATCAACCAAAGATTGAAGATTATGTATCTAAGAGAACAGAACAATATGATTACAAAGCTAAGAAAGCACAATTTGATAAAAAAGATTATTCAGCAAAAAGAGGAGATTACAAAAAATATCACTCATCGACGCTACCAGTCGAAGAAGAAAATCTGATTGCTACTACATCAGCAGCTTTAATAAAGGATGATTATTTTAATGATGAAGAAAATGTCGATATATTGGTAAAGCCATCGTATCAACCAAAAAATGCAGGCTATGTATCTAAAAGAAAAGAAAATTATGATTATAAAGCAAAGAAAGCGCAATATGAAAAGAAAGATTATTTAGCAAAAAAGACAACAAGAAATATGACTCATTTAAACAAGAAGAAGATCATATGGCTACTCCAATAGCAACTTTAGTAAAAGATGATGTTAATAATAATGAAGAAAACATCGAAATTTTAATGGATAAACCATCGTATCACCCAATAAATAATTACGCTTCTAAGAGACAAGAACAGTATGATTACAAAGCTAAGAAAGCACAATTTGATAAAAAAGATTATTCAGCAAAAAAAGGAGAGTACAAAAAATATCAATTATCGACGCTACCAGTCGAAGAAGAAAATCTGATTGCTACTACATCAGCAGCTTTAATAAAGGATGATTATGTTAATGATGAAGAAAATGTCAGTATATTAGTAAAGCCATCGTATCAACCAAAAAATGGAGGCTATGCATCTAAAAGAAAAGAAAATTATGATTATAAAGCGAAGAAAGCGCAATATGAAAAGAAAGACTATTCAGCAAAAAGAGACTACAAGAAATATGACTCATTTAAACAAGAAGAAGATCTTGTGGCTACTCCAGCAGCAACTTTAGTAAAAGATGATGTTAATAATAATGAAGAAAACATCGAAATTTTAACGGATAAACCATCGTATCACCCAATAAATGATTACGCTTCTAAGAGAAAAGAACAGTATGATTACAAAGCCAAGAAAGCACAATTTGATAAAAAAGATTATTCAACCAAAAGAGGAGACTACTACAAATATCGTACTGTGCCACCAACAGAAGAAAAATTCACCACAGAATCATTTAACATTATACCTGAAGACACAAATGATATTATAGCAAGAGTTCAACTAGAGAAGGATGATAATAATTTAGATCTTATACGCGAAATTAAAGAAAATAACGTTAATGTTTTAAATAAAGGAGATGACAATGATTTGGATCCTAAAGAACTTGTGGATACTAATGTAATCGAAATGTTTGATCCATTCCGGTTCAATGTAAGAAGACGTACTCCCACTGTCTACGACTTTTTGTTTCACACATTTGATTATGACAGCCCTGATAATAAAGTGTACGAATAAAATTTTATATCATAAAATATTTCATAAGATTGTTTACAATGATTTTTATAGAAGTGTGTATGTGTACTACTAAATGAAATTATTAGTTTTTGTTGAAATAAATAGTTACATTAAATATTTCTGACTTGTCTTATTTCTTCCTTTTAATTCTTAGTACATAGAACGATCACAAGTCGACATCGTAGGTATTTATGACGAAATATTCTTAACATAATATGAATGACGCCCACGTGGCACTTATCTTTTATTTGTGAACGCCAAATTAAAGAAACATAAACAAGTTCATGAGCCACCTAATAAATTGTTAACAAGGCATTTACACCATCACCTGTAACAAGGAACTTTAAAACATATAACATTTATGATAAAACCCATAAAACTCTTTGATCACAACACATGTGGCTGATATTCATTGATCGTTAAAGTAAAAACGTATATTATAACAAGGGGAATGAATGCACATTATTGCTATTTCGCGAGGTTTTCTATCATTATTTTTGGAGACGTTCCAAACATTTTACAACGACGTTACGCTTTCCCTATTTTCATCGCGGAAAATTTAAAAACCATCGGTCACCACTGTGACAACAGCTAGAATACAAATAGAAAATACTTTTACAGTTGATTACAAAGTCTTCACAAAGCACACGGTACAATAACCAATAACTATATTGACTCTAAATAAATATCCAGTTAGAATCCATGGCGGTATATCTAAATTTAAAATAGAAACAGAGAATCTTGTATATTGGTATTGTATATTTTGATAGCATCAGGTAAACAATATTGATTACATCTGGTATAAACACAAATAAAACTTTATGATGGATCGTTAAAGTCAAACGGTGTACATACATTTTCTCGACACACAAATATTCATAAATTCTTGCAAATCATATTTCCTCGTTATACTGAAAGAATTGCAGCAATAAATTAAAATTATACTCTGTGAGGCTTAACTTAGATTTGCTATTGACGACTGCAGCGTTATGAGTAATAAAATAAAAATGAGTTTATAGGTACTCTAACAAGCTTATTATTCTAACTATATTGTTTTCTAAAGTCATACAAATCTGCCTTAGATTAACTATTATCATATGTTTTGAAAGCTGATTTTTATACGGTATAGTATAGTCTATGATATGTATGCATCAAAAACAGATGAAGTAGTATGACAAAGCGAACGAAACAAGATAAAACAAATGAAAAATAAAAATGCACATCAAAGTATCTGAGAACTATTTCAAGATTTATTTACATTTGGCTCCGAGGTATCAGCCGATGGATTCTGCAAGGAAAATCCTGTATTCTGTGCCAAAATGAAGTTATATTTCCACTCCATTGACGCTGATGATTCAGGGTACCGACAACCCTGTTCAAAATTTTGGCTGTGATTACCAATTATTTTGATTATGGAATGTTAAGTCGGTGTAAATTAGTCAAATGTCAGTTACGCATCGGCAAATAAATTTAATAAGTCCCTGCTTGCAACTGACGGTCGGCTGTAAAATTATTAGCGCATTTATTTACGATTGCTCGTTTCCTGCTATTCTACGCTTTATATTTGTCATATATCTTTTATTGCACCTCAATCTCAACTAATGGGTTTATTATGTGAATTTAAATTGTGATTAAAAACATAAAATGTACAATACGTGGAAATTGTTGTTTGTTTTTCTTTCTGATTATTTACAAGGGAATAAATTTATACAGTTCGTATCTGACTAATATAAAATAATATTTTAAATGCAATAACTTAAAATGCGTATAAATATTTAGTAAATGATGCCAATGATCAGCTTCACAAGATGATCTTTGCAATTATTAATTTATTTTTGAGTTCAAAAATGGGAAATAGGTTAGTATTCTAATATTACAAAGTCCTGCTGGTGGTTGGAAACTACAAAATTACATAAAAACTAAACAACTAACTAACTAACTTAAACTAAACATCAATAGCGGTGAAAAAGGAAACCAAATAAACTTAGCATTAACAAACCGACAGTTCAATATCATTAAATGAGGTACTAAATGAATAATGTTATATAATACACCGATATCTTGTCCCATTTGTTTTCAATATTCCGAAAACATACCACATGTCTTGATTGAGTACGAAAATAACAAGAGTGTAGTGTTTCTTAAAATATTATTAATGTCCAACTATAATTATTCCTGACAAACTCAGTGAAGTTGTTTTAAAAATTATTTCAATCACTTCGCAGTTAAATATTAATATAATACGAATCAAAACAAAAAATTAAAAAAGAAATACGACTGTGTTTACAGAATCTCAAAAGCTGAAATCTGACGTTATTATCATAATAATGCTTCGTCAAAACTATTCATCACTTGAATTGTGAGTTTCGATAAAATTTCTAACGCTTTATTTACTGCTTTCTAAGGAATTCGATGACGAGAATAACGTCATATTAATATCAAATGGTTTAAAAATAAACTTGTAACCTGACCTAATTTCGTCGAGTATTGTTGTTTTAAGAATACACGTGGTCGACACGTAAAGCGCGACTCAGATTGGATGTTTCTCTCATTGTGGCATTCACATGGGAACACAAAAATTATAGCCGATCACCGACAGTCTATATCTGCTTCGGCGCCGCAGTATAACCCGTTTCACGCGCCAGTGGTCGCCAATCGACGGCCTTCCGTACACTAGCTGTTGTATTCAAATATTTACATCCGCACTATATCATTATATTACTTTAATCGTGATTTTTAATTTATCTGTTATACCATAAATTTTGTTGTGGTTTTGGATTTTATTTTGATTTTGAATTTAGGTATTATTTTTTATAAATTGAAGATTTCAAAATGATTTATTTCTGATATTCAATGAAGTCATACAAATTTTAAGATAATATTAACTTGTCAAGTATTTTACTTTTAAAAGTGGCAATTTTACAGTTATGTAAAATCATACCTATCAATAGATTTTTTAAGCAAGTATATTTATATCATTTAATAAAAAAAAATGTACTAAAAAAATAAAACAAAAATTTAAGAATTGTAAACGACAAAACAGTTGACGGCGCCTGTTAATGACGTCGCAACACGTAATATTCTCGTCGGGATTGTTGTGAATCGGCGGCCGCATCAAAGGAATTTCCTGCTCTTAATCAAGGAACAGCTTTATAAGCGCAACACTTTCTGCTACGTTTTAAACTGGACATGTTGAACATGTTCAGTTTCACATGTTGTTATCGAGTACTGACACCACTAATCCTTTTACAAAACTCCCCCTTTTACAGGATTCATGAACATTCCACTTTCTACAGAGCTGACCATGTTTTATGCATATGGCCAGACTACATCTTAATAATACTTATAATAGGAAATCTACAATACATGCATTTCACGTTATATTTTGAGTTGGCTAAAGTAACAAAAAATGTGACGGGTGAGCACTTTATTAATCTCTCACTTACGAAGCAACGTAGAAACAAATACGTCATTGTTATTGAAACGCAAAACGATCCTGGAATAATGGATTTCAGAAACTTCGACAACAACTATCATGATGCCATAAATAGACCACATCATCTCTGTTCCTACGTGTGAGTCGATGTCAATTAGTTTATATAAATCTGACAGCTCACTTCCTGCAGAATGCAGGTTTTGCTGAGCATTCCCACCATCTGACGTAGATATAATTCACGCTGACGAAGACTCAATAATCACGTCACTATTCTGAACGTGTACGGTGGAGAGAGAGACAGCAGCTTTTTCACTTATTTTTGTATTTCAGTCAGAGGAGGAAGGAATGCTATAAATAAGGGTGCTACACCGACGTAAAATCTAGTGTAACAACACTCGCACTCGGATTCAGTTCTTGTTACAACTGCCAACCCTACACAAACACCATGGTGAGGATCTACAGGATTACAAATATTAAATACACTGGACGTGAATGTGACAGTTATTTGTGATGAATCAAATAGTGTAAAAATTTATTCAATAGCCAATATGGAGCTTTTCATGGAAAATTTATACGCGAAGTGAATATTAACAATTTCTTCAAAGGATTGCAAATTATTTTCTCAATCCAACAGTCCTACTCATCGTCAAATCAGAGTTTTATGATTCAACTCGACTCATATCAATATTCTCTGCCTCTAGGACACTGATGATGACCAGAAGATGGCCATGCTGCGCAAGGCCTTCCAGATGTTTGACACCACTAAGTCAGGATACATCGATGTCCTGAAGATCTCAACCATCCTCAACACCATGGGCCAGCTCTTCGATGACTCTGAACTGCAGGCTCTCATCGATGAAAATGACCCAGAAAGTGAGTTTTTTTAGTAACAACATAATACTTATTAATTATTTACATACAATAATGTTTATTATAATCTTGATTAAAAATTCCATCCCCATATTATATCCAATTTTCAATCTGATGTCAAAATTTGACGTTAATTATCGGAAAATGTTTACACTTTAGTTTAAAAATGGTATCAATTTTATTGAAATGGATCATTGAAAATGTTTGCGTCATTACTAACAGTTACGAAATTTTTTCTATAAAATTTATTATTCTGTAAAATCCAATAAGCGAAGTAAAAATGTATGAGTGCTAAAAAAATGGGAACAACAACTGTCGTAACAGCTGCAAAGATATCTTGTTAAAAAGTCATCCATCATCAGAATACACTAACAAGAATTCACACGTACCGAGGCTACGACACCTTTTCGAATATACTCTCGAATATTTTTACTCGTCGCGTGAACTAATGAGGCTATTTCCGTACGGTAGTTCTCTCCGAGTTACCAGTCCCTTTGAAAGATGCATGTCTCTGTATCCACAGTTTATTTATCTAGTCCGTCTTCAATACAGCGCTCAAGGTTCAAAACATTCCTAGCTTTAGTAGCGAACTAATTGTTTCTTTATTTTAGACTCCGGCAAGATTAACTTCGATGGCTTCTGCAACATCGCTTCCCACTTCTTGGAGGAGGAAGACGCAGAAGCTATGCAACAGGAACTGAAGGAAGCCTTCAGGTGAGTGTTTGTTTAATATGAAACACAAGTCACTTGTACATATATTTTGATTTATATACATCGATCACACACTTACTTTGACTAAACGTTATGTTTCATTAATCTCCAGGTTGTACGATCGTGAAGGAAACGGATACATCACCACCTCTACTCTGAAGGAGATCCTGGCTGCCCTTGACGACAAGCTCAGCTCAAGCGATTTGGACGGCATCATCGCTGAAATTGACACTGACGGATCCGGAACCGTCGACTTCGATGGTAAATATTTCTTCTCTGACTTTAATAAATTGTTCATAAACATCACTAAATCACTCTAATGTTCCAAATTATTATTACAATGTTATTGGAATATTGGCTGGAGGTCTGCCCACATTTTGTCTCGACGCCAAGACAGGCCTCCGTAGTTAACACGCAGTTACCTGATGTCGTTTCGTCGACAGTGGTGTCAAAAGCGTGAACATAACAATTTGGCCACGTATCAACCCACGCCAGCTACTCTAGCAATATATTATTAAAAAATACGAAAACGTCCGTTAGACTAAAACAAAATTCCGTTTGGAGGTGATTACTAGCTGGTTGGCATAGCAGCTGCTTTTGAAGATGAACTATAGCATAAATTTTCGCAAAAACAACATGGGTAGGTACATAAACATCCCACCCTGAGACTAATGCCGAAACATTACTAGCGCACTGAAAAGGCGGGCGGTATGTGACGCTTTAAATTTATGGTCTTCCATAAGCACATTGCGATATTAATTTATTGATTCTAATTCTCTGTTTGTTTTGAATCAAGATCAAAAGCGTCTAATGTACGCAATAGTCTTTTGACAAAAACTTTTAAGTGGTTCCACTTATTTATCAAACGATGAATGTATGCGGAATCTAGAACTGTGATACGATGTTTTTTTTTCACCTGAATCACTGATATATTTTTCTATCGAAAATTTTGACTCTGACGAAATGTTTTTTTATATTTTATTTTTATGATCTAAACATTATTTTATTTTGTTTCAGAATTCATGGAGATGATGACTGGGGACTAAGCAAATCGTCGTTCACTATTATTTTTATAGTATTATTATGTTTAGATGCTATTTTTATTGTATTTAAAAATTAAGACTTTGACACTAGTACAAAACCATATGCGGTATTAGCATGGTTGTTTAATTAATTTGCACATTTTACTCTATCTTATAGATAGGCACTAATTAATTTTAATAGTCTACAAGGGTAGACCAGGCATAACTTGAGTTCGTTCCAAAGAATTATTTCCGGAATAATTTACACGTAACGAATTCTCAAACAATTATATGCTAATATTTATAACGCATTGCACTTTATTTTGAAAGTATCCCTTTAAAAAACCTCATGATTATAACGCCAATACACAAAACAACAGTCTTTCTTCGTGTTTCAATTATGTATTGTTTTGACCTTGACCTGAATATTCCCTCAAACTCCTTTTAGTTTGCGACCACTCGCAGTACGGAGCACACTGGCTTTGTTGATCAAAGGAACAGAAATACCACACTAGTGTCTAGTGATTTATTATGATTTATACATCCCAGTGGGCTGTTATGTAAGCACATAGTTCTAAATATTTCCACTGGCACATTCTATATTTCTGTTTTATACGGTAATTGAGTTCGAGAGTGAAGAATTGCTTGTTGACCAAAATTAGCCGTGTTCCAAGACTCGCAATTGAAAAATTGTCCAATTGCATTTTGTTTCCTGTGGGTTAAGTACAGTGGAGGACAGAATAACGGGCCAGTGCACATTTTCCTCAATGCTACTATTACGTTCGTTAGTGTACTTCGATTTTTTTACTCAATTAGCTACAGTGCCATAGTTTTCAAAAGGATTGAATAGAAAAAATATTTTATCCCTCTTACCTAAATGACTTAAATGGTTTTATATTATTATTTTTTAAGCTGAGATGATTTCGATTATAATATCTCGTTGTTAGAATAAATAATTATTTATCGATAAATATAAGATGATAAAATAAATAATTATTTATTCGATAAATATATAATGAAGAAATAAATAATTATTTATCTTAACAACGAGATACTATTTTCGATCACTTGCATCAATTCTTTTGCATCTGTCAATGCATGTCATTAGGAATTTAAATGGAAATTGAAATAGCTAAATATGATTCTCTAATTTTTTAGGTAGAGAACTATAGTCTACAATATATAACATAACATAACTGCACGCCTGTCTCCCATGGGGTAGGTAGGCAAATACTGTGGAACGCCAACTACGATTCCTAAAAACACATGAAAATCGAAAAATCGCTTATAATTTCTAAGTTCGAATGCTAAAAAATATCAGTTCGCGAATAGCTGTTTCTTGTCTGATTATGCTCATTATTTTACCCTTGAAGTCTAAGTCTAAACCAATTTAACAGTTTAAGTAGTTGTATCACATCATTCATTACGTTTTGTTTTCCCATAAAAGGCATACAAAGATGAAACAACCGGTTATATCATTTTCTTTTTTATGTTCCGTATTACCATAAAGTATTAAAAATTTACCAGTAATGATAATAAAATACAATGATGGATTACTTCGAAAATCTGATCTCGAGTGTACAATGAAAATTGTCCCCATTAAAGCGACCCTCAGGACGTCAATTGGATCAGTAGAAATACTGTTATGAATCCTCGTGTGCATATAAGCCATGTTTAACTATTTACGACACTAGTTGAGTGGTGTTAGTCGTTGTGATGTTTCGATTTACCTTAATATTATGGCTTGCTTTAGGACTATGCAAGTCAGCACCAGTGGACGAATTCAACGGTTTTATAAAGCAAGGAGGTATGTGTTAATTTTGTGTTTATAAATATTTTTATTGTTTCAAGTGCCAAGGTTAGCCTAATGGCTTCATAGCATAAGTGCAACTGGCAATGAATTACGAATTATATTGCCTGATCGTTCTCTCTTTATTGTTGCCTAGAACATAAACAATGTAATGGACTGCGTGTGTCGAATTCCTTGTGATGCCATTGTACTAATTACTGCTTCCATACTTTTTATTGTTAGCATTCTTATTCAAACCAGTACCAGTGTTTAAAAATTAAGTGTCACTTTTATATTTGCAAATGTTCTAAAGTTACATAATGATCGTAAAGATATGATATAATAGATCGAATGTCCTACGTTCGTATTTGTAACTATGATTCCTTTTTAAATAAATACATTTTGCTTATCTGTATAAATTATTACTTTTCAGAATTGTCAGCTAATCCTGATGGAGACTTAACGGGAATTGTGCCTGGATACCTTCCTCAGGGATCTCAAAAATCTGATCTGTTTAGTGGCTTATTGGGGGTAACTAGCTAAATATTTGATCAGCATTTGCTTTGTGAATACAAATGTTAATGTATTTAACGTATATCTAATACATTGTTTTCAGTTACAAAGTGAATACGTAACCTTGACAGATTTCGTCCAAAAAAGTGCCAATTTAAAAGGTCTTACTTTTAACATCTACAATGAGGATATGAAAGATGTTGCCAATGGTTTATTTAAATTACTATATAACGCAGAAGATTTTGGCTATGATATTGAAAAGATAATAAATTTAAATGAATTTAATGATGACTTGGTAACGTACGCGAAGCAAATAAATTTGTTGTATAGGGACAAAAAATTTAATGTCGATGAATATCCACCACCTTTCACCACAAAACCGAACCATTTTGTAAATGGTGAAACTATAGTAAAAGCTTTGAAACTTGCAAACTACATTAACAATGACATAGATATCACAGATGAGGCTAATGTTGACCAGTACTTCAAGACTTATGATATTCTCACAATTAACTCTAACTATTCTGGTTGGAACCTGCCAGAGAATGGAGGTGAAGAGTTGTTGAACTACTTCAGAGAAGACATAGGATTGAATAGTTACTACTACGGCGTGCACTTGATGCATCCTTTTTGGTTGTTTCATAATAAACTGTATACAGCAAACTCAAGGTCAGATGAACATTACTATTACATTCACCAGCAGTTGGCAGCACGTTTATACCTTGAGAAAGAACATTTGCGTCAGGAAAACGTGACTAAGAAAACTGAATTTGGTGACTACCATCCTTATCTCATTCATGAGAATGGATTGCCTTTCCCGACCAGGTCAGGAACTATGGGAGATTGGAATGAAGATAGAGCTAAAATCAAATCTATTGACATTGCTATTAAAGAGTGTATGGCAAGAAGACTGATTGTAATAGTAAGTAAATATGTAATTAAGTAAGATATAAATTAATTAGAAATTGTAATTAACTTCATGCGTCCATTTAATTACAGGATAGGAAAACTATAGAATTAACTGAAGAAAATTATGTGAAATTACTGACCCGATTATTCAGAGGTAATTTTGAGGTTGGCAAAGTTTCTAAAGTTATAAGGTCTTTGTTTGGTTATGGTGGAAATGGATATCCAATTGAAGGGTAAGATATCATTTGTTTACTTATACGTATAAGAACCTAAGAAGAAATTGTGCTGGTATTATATCCACAGTCACAGAAAAATACTTCTAAAAAATTATTATTACGTTTTACAATTTATAAAAAAACTGTAACTTAAATCACCCATACAAAATTATGAAAGTTATAAAATAGTAAGTATAAAATTCTCCAAACTAAATAAGACTACTTCAAACTATTGTTATTTTGCAGATATAACCCAGCACCATCTTTACTACACCATCCAGAAACATCATTAAGAGATCCAATATACTGGTACATGATGCAGTACGTTATCAACTACTTTACTGAATTCACGGAGTTCATCGAACCACTTTATATGCAAAAGGATGATGCCACAAAACACTGTGAAATTATTGAAGCTGATTTACCAAAAATAACAACGTATTTTAGCTACTACCAATTTGATATCAGCAATGCTGTCTTCAAAACAGATTCTCCAGAAGATAGAATGCCATTGACAATAACAGCGCGACAGAAAAGACTTAAACATTCCAAGTTTGAATTTAACTTTACCGTTGATTGTACCGGTGTGAAGGATACTATTGTTCGATTGTTCCTTGGACCACCGTGTACTGACAGATGTTGGGAGGAATATACACACTTTTTCGAACTAGATAAGTTTGCCTTTGCTCCAGCAGAAGAAGGATTAAGCACCATAATCTGGTCACCAGAGATTTCAACTAGATTCTCAGATGACGAATATTATAATTTGGAAGGCTCATCATCACAAACAGATAAAACAAATAATTTTAATCTATTTAAGTTTCCAGAAAATCTTATTATACCTAGAGGTACTCCAAATGGACTGAATCTTACATTATTTATCATGATTACACCAGCTGACGAATATTTAGATGAACATACTTTTATCAAATTCTTTGGCGAAATAAGAAACGATCTTGACAATAAACCGGCAGGATATCCCTTTAATAGGCCAGCAGTTGGGTACTATGACGATGCTCCTAATTATAAATTCTATAACATCACAATATATCATAAGAAAAACCACATTTCAAAGAATGGTTACTTCTCACCTCACTTGCATTAAATGCGTTGGGATTTTCTTTGGTTGGACATTAGAAATTAGTATTATTAGAATTTAATAAAGTATAGTCTATGCGCTCATGTTATTATTCTTGCCTTTTTAATGGTTAACTTACCCGTAGCCGCTAGCTGAACGAAAGAAGTCACTTTGTATTGGAATGCATAATAATATTAAAGACTGACCGATAGAGATTAAAAAAGTAAGAAAAAACAATAATTATAAAAAATATTTTAATTCCATTGCAATATAAATAGTTTGTGTTGGTCTAAATTTAAGTACTTCAGTCATTATAATATCACTGTAATGGGCGCGATTGGAAATATGTAGGAACATTCAGCTCATAAGAGAAATATGGACCCTTGTGGTAGATTTGTACTTCCTCGTAAAACATGTTGGGTTGTCCATAGTACGTCTCATGAACAGGGCGGTCAAATGGATATCCAAAGGGCTTATTGTCCAATATGTAGTTCTGAAAAGGATTGTCACCCGTTTGGTTATTGTATGGGTAAATAAATACAAACAACTGTAATGAAAAACCACCGGGTGTACCCCTGGGCAACATCAATCTCCTGGGCATATTGTCTGGCTGAACAGACATATCGTAAGGTACCTTTCCTTGATCTAACCACTGGTATATTTCCTTAATAGGAATAGAATCATCTTTGTAGAATAAAAAATCTGTTGAATTGCGTTCTACTTTGTTTTCCCCGACAACAAGCTTATACACGAACCAGTCCAATTCACAGAATTTCGTCCAGCTTTCTTCAATATTAATTGGATATCCGGTGGGATCATATTTGGGTCCAATGAAAATCTTAAAGGCGGCATCTGTCTCTACAGTAGAAGTTACTTCAACTTTTATGGTGAACGGTTTCTGATTTAGTCGAGGTTGACGAATAACATAGGCAGTAAGATAAGAATTTAGTTCATCCTGACTGAAATAAACACCACTCGTAGCGTTAAAGTCAAAATAATCGAAGTAAGTGACTAACTCGCTAATTTTCACATCATTAATCTTAACTCCCTCGAAGTGAAGATCGTTGTACTCATACGGCTCCAGATACTCCTTGTACTCAATAAGGTAGTTAATGATTCTCTGATAAAGTTGGTAGAAAGCAGGATCACGCATTGAAGTCTGGTAGAAATCGAGAGCAGTAGGCATAAAATCATATCTGTAACAAAACAAAAAACAATTTAATGTACTGAAGTAAATACTGCTAAAATGGTATGTACTGTTTGTGACATTGTTAATACTTCATTGCGTAAGTAGACTAAAACTCAAAAATGCTCAGCATGTCATACAAAATCTTATCTATATCTATTCTATACAAACATATAATAAACCTGTAGAAGTGTAAATTCTGTACACTGAAAATATAAAAAAAAAGTAGGGGTGTTACTAGATAGAAACCAGACTCAAAAAAATTATTAAAAGTATTGTGTCTGTCTGTCTATCTGTATGCATGTTCACGCATTAGGCAAAAACTACCGGTCCGTTTTAATATCCTGGGTATCGCACTGGGTATTTTTTATTCCGTACTAAAAACCAAACTTAATTTTGCGCAGATCTCGATCCAAACGCAGTTATATAAGTTTGTCGAATGTTAAGTTGTCAGCAGTGGACCTTACACAGTAACTGTAGAACCGATAGTCGATATTAGCTTAAACAACTATTATAAATGCGAAACTTTATGTTTGTAACTCAGTCAAATCAAAATGGCTGAAGGGACCGGGATGATATTTGGAACAGAGGTAGATAGTGGTCTGAAGGGAGTCTGGCTAGGAGAAATTATTTTTATATATTTTCATTACATTTTAAGTACTTACTTGGCAACTGGTTTGGGGCTAGCACCGAGGACGTGACGAGCAATGATTTCATAAGAATACTGGTGAAGATCCTTGTTAGTTTTTTCGTCGTTTAAATTGGAATTCGTATGCCAATAATTTCCAATGAAGTTCAGTTGTTTCTCAGGCTGAAATAATTTAAATAAAATGATATTTTATTAACAGACTGTACTGTACTCATATCTTGAAACTGAATTTGTATGTACTTACAGATTTAAACTCTGCTTTTTGAAGAAATTGCGAAAATGTTTTCTCATAGGCATCTAGGAAGCGAATGTAATCGTAGGTGTTTTCATTATGTATTTCATAATCATTACTTCTTTGGGTGAAAGGCAGAAAGTTTCCTGTCAATTGTGGGTAGTACCCAGTTTCAAATTTAGAGTACCACGAGAACTCAGGAATTTCTCCTAATCCATTTGTAAGACGCTCCAAATAATACCGTGCTAGAATTTGCTGATAGTAGTAGAAAAAAAATTCACCGGTGCGATTCTTTAGGATACTCAGTTTTTCAATTTTCCACCAGAAAGGCATGTGTGTGTGAAAGTAGTAGTAGTATGAGTTCAAGCCAATATCTTCAGTAAAGTATGACAGCTTTTGCTCCTGGTTTGGATAAGTTAAGCCGTTGGAATAATTGGCGTAGTATATATATGAGTTATTCTCTTTCACAATACCGTAATAGGCTGCAGCCTCATCATTGAACACACCCCCCTGCATTTTGGTACGGTACATTCTTAACAAAACTTCTTTGTTGAAGAAAAACTGCGGGTAAATTTCATAGGGAGCTGGAAGAATGATGCCAGTAGTATCTCCTCTTTGAACCACGGCGATGTAGTAGGCATATAAAAACTGTTCTTCATTCATGTGTATTTTTGCCCACGATGCAGTTTTATAGAAGATGTCGAAGTCTTTAGCGTAGTACATCATATAAAACATGGCGACGGCTTCATTCCTCATCCTTTCGTAGAAAACGGAGAATTTATGATATTTTGGCAGAAAACCTGCTTTGAATAATATCAAGAATTCCTTAACAGCGTCTTTGTTCTGTAAAATTCATGAGATTAAGTACCTAAACGAAATCCTGAAATATAATGTTTTATTTTCTATAATACTTACGCTGTAATTATCAATGTTAGCCTCAATATTGTAATATTGACCAAGTTGATAGTATTCAGAGTGGATGTCCAATTGTTCTGAATGTTCAAAAAGGGCCAAAATTTGTTTCTGACGCCCAATAAACGGCTCTTCAACTGAAATAAACATTTTTATTTCTATTACAGTTGCACTATTCATCCATTTGTCACATTTTAATTGGTGAAATTAACTCTTTAGTGAATGATTACAATTTCTGGATTAGGCATATCACCATTGCGCTTACATTCCTCAAATAAGAAATAAGTCTATGTAAGTACACGGATCTCAAAGCCACCAAAAGTCTTAATAAAAGAGGTCTATAATGAAACATGAAATAAACTTACCACACTTCGTTTTAAGATTTTCGTGAGGAAGGGATCCTCCCTTCACCAGGGCAATGAACCCTGTCAATATAAGGACAGTCTTCATCTCGTTACCACTACTGCAAACTGTGACACACATCATGACGATCCACTTTTTATACTAAACATGTACCGCGTTGTTGAATGAATACGATATTGATATGTTATACTTTCTTTAGCTCCATCAAGCTGTTTAACTTTGGACTCAAATCTCACTTTCTTTGCGACAATTAATCCAGTTATCGATCATGTGCGTATCCTATCCTAACGGCGACTGAATCGTATAAATAGTTTCATTTTCATTTTACCATCCAGATTACTGCATACTATTTACTTTCATGACCAACAAGTCATTATGTTTACAAACACAATAATCTATTGTATGTTTCACCTCAACATTGCTAATTACTCACTGTTTCACACATATTTCAAATGGCTTGGCTTCCATTTGGAATAGTTGTCACTTTTTGCATTGCATCTGCACGTGGTGCGCATTCATCAAATTCACTTAAATAAATTGTTGAGTCATCGTGAAATACTGTTTGTAGTTCTAATTGTGAAAAATACTGATTATACATTGTAATAAGTTGAAGCCATAATACATCTAAAGATTGAGTTATTATTTTTAACGGTCAAAGGTAGCAGCTGATGCCCAATATGTATTGTACAAGTCCGATTGTACTATGTAATTGTATAGTAACCATTTAACAGTTCCATAAATTGATATTGCCATTGGATTTTCACTTTTCAGTCGGTTTCTAGATCTGTGACAGATGTTTCTTCTATGTATCTACATCATCAGATCAGATTAGATTAAAATTTTATCGAAAACGTTTCGACATTATTTATTCATAGTTCGAGATAAAATATATTGAACATGATTCACTAAAACGATTCATACATATCAATAATTTAAGAATATTATTAGGTAGCCACCTTAAAAATGACTACCTCATTATTAATTTGTATTTTTACGTAACTACTGAGAATATTTGTCCCACAGAATATCTCGTATACAAACAACAACCCTAGATCAACAGGTCATGACAGTTCACTATTGTACTACATAACACTTCTAACTACATGTGTGGGAGTGAGGGAACGAATCTCCTCACGCCCTAGCCAGCCCATCGCGAGAGTCACTTTCAGCGTCGGGGATCGCGAGACCATCTCCGCCTGCGGACGGCGAGCACGGGTGACGTGCGGCCCGACCAGAACCAGACCCAAGCACACGGCGCGTCGTGTGCCTTAAGAAGCCATTAGACCACCACAGATGGGGCCCAATAGGGCTGATGTCGATGCCGATACGGAGCCGCGGAGGACTTAGCGAGTTACTGGGGCTCGAAGTGCAGTAGGAACGGGGTGGTTTTTAGTCAGTAAGAGTCTGACACTCCCTTCCGCCTCACCCGGCCGGGAGAAGTCATTGGATGATTTTTCCCCTGTAAAAAAACTACTACATGTATGAGGCTTTCCCATAGTGTCAGCGGACAGGAGTGTTGGAGATCGCTGTTCAAGTCTATCAAAGAGAAAGTTGCTGTCCGATCTTTATAATTTTTTTTTGATAATACATATTAAGTGATACCTACTTACCTAATATGTACCTCTAGTATCTACACTAATCTACATCTACAACTAATATTATAAAGAGGCAAGGTTTAATTTTTTGTTTGTTTGTTTGAATTGAATAGGTTCCAAAATAAATGGACCAAGTTGAAAAACTGACTGCCTTGTTGGCCGAGTAGTCGTAAGTGCGCGGTTCGATACCCGGGTCGGGAAAAGTATTACTGGGATTTTTAAAAATTCTCAGTAGTAGCATGGAGTCTGTAATTGTGCCCGGTATATGGCAATAGGCTCACCCCCCTATTACATGGGACTCATAACATAAATAGTGGAAAGTGGGTGTTACATTGTACAGTGGTATAATGTGCACCTCTGCCTACCCCTTCGGGGACGTGCGTGACAATCCCCTTCGGGGATGTAAATAGATATGCCACCAGTTAACAAAATATGACGCCAAATAAAACCAAGTACACTTAAACACAATTTAATATTATTTAGAAACAGAGATTAGAGGGTACTCGTGAACATTCACCATTATTACAATAAGGTAAGCCTCTAGCCAGGCAAGCATTAGTTATTCCGAAAAATGGTGTACATAATAATCTCGTATAACAATCAAAACAGCGCCGCAGAGGTCTTATTCTAAAGTCGCAATAAGGTATTATAGTGGAACGGGAATCGTCGTAGTCCAGAGTCTCCAATATCTCATCCTTGATCTCCCATTCATCTGTATTCGTTTGAGAAAATGCCCCAGAAAGGAACAACTGCAAAAAAGTAATGAAAATTATTATAATTACTGAAAATAACTAAGTAGACCAACTAGAGCATGATGGATTCATGCATTGTTGGACAGATCTAGATGATTATTCGTTTTTCTCTAATATACAGGGTGTCCCTGAAGTCGACGATCAAATGGCACTAGGTGATCGCCAAGGTTCCAACAGTTGTCAGGAAAATATTTCCAATCAAAGTCAGATAGCTTTTTAATTACAATGACTTATGTGTTATCCACGAAAAAGTCCACCCTGTGCCAGTCTTTAGACTCTAGTTGCTACAATTCTTTATTTTAGTCTGTATTTTTGCTTACGTTATCCTGCTTCAATATTATTGAATCATAAATTCTGAGCCAGCTGCTTTAGTTTGGCTAGAGGAACAAATACTGTGGATCACATATCACTTAAAAATATTTGACTTCAAGGACACTACTACCATATTGTTATATAATAGTTGATGGGAGCTCTAAAAACAATGTAAATACATATTATAGGGTACACTGCATCATCATACAGAACGGAATTTAGTCAAAACGCAATGAACAACTTATGTTTTCTAACATAGTTTCTTCTTATATGTATATTGTATATGTATAGTATTATGTATGACGTATGTATATGTGAGATATGTCTCAATCACTGAGATAAAACACTTGTAGTAACATATGACACTTATGTATGTTTTTATAATATTGGAACCACAGAACATATAAAGAAGGCTAGAAAGGAAATAGTTCCTGGGCCTCTAGCCAAAAGCCACTTTAGCGCTTGTCTACAGTGAGAGTAGAAATCAAAATGTATGGGGATGACACTGACAAGTGTCAAAATTTACGTCAATTCCATATAATTTGGTTTTCTACTCTACATGTAGACAAGCGCTAAATGGCATTTGGCTACAGCTGCTGATTTGTATTAGAACACGCGTCGCCGTTTGTCCCCCACTCTTTAACTTTACTACAAGCAAGAGACCAATACCTACGCGGAAAATGCACACAAATAAACAACACGCACTAGGTCAAAAGATTTGTTATTGGTCGTCACACTGACGCAATCACTTCGTTTGACATACACTACAAACGTAAAAAACTCATATATGGTAGGGGGAGCGAAAGGTCGATTATTGATATCGATAAAATTAATGGCATCTAGCTTCTTAATTTACATGTTTTGCTGACTATGCGGATTTGTATAAGGCATATTGTTTACAAGTATTTACGTTAATGTAAATAACTATACATAGAAAAATACATAACTGATTTTTAAAATCAATTACATTATTAACATTAAAATAATTTGACATGGAATATAATTATAAGTAAATTGTTGATTGGTAGTAATCAAAAAAGTATAAAAAACCGAAAAGGTATTATTTCGATTTTGTTTTGTTTTCAACTGTAAGTTTTATAAAAATAAAAGGAGTCCGGGAAGTCATGGGGTCAAAAATAATAGATTTTTACTTAATTCAAAATATATAAAAAATAGCGTAATTTCTCCCTAAGGAATGAAAAATCATAAATTATTGAAATATTGGGAATTATCATAACGTAACCATATCATGATATATCTAATCTGTGCTCAAAACTCTGTTATTGTCTCTGTTAGATATCATCATGACATTCGTATGATGACAACCGATAATCGTCGTTCGTATTTCTTTAATAGTTAATATAAATAGGAATTATTATATAGTTTCGGTTACATAATTTCCTTTACTGAATGTGAGTGGTGTGCAAATTAACTTAGAAAGTACGTATAAGTTGTATGAAACAGCGCCGCAACCTCCAGGCCAACACAATATTTTAGCTCACGTAAATTAAGTCAGCTCTAAAAGCTCTGAAAACTAGAAAAGTCATCAGGTGTACATAGCTATTCTTAAAAAAGGTACAATACAATCGCTCCCAGGATATAATGTCATTTTATTTGTTGTCATAGCTTTGTTCTCGAATAGAAAACCTCAACAACTATTTTAAATTATTGACATATAGTTTCAACTATTTACAATTTGGGCCTCAGCATGTATGAAAGAGTATCCATCTTACGAAAAATGATTTACTTGTCGCTTAGATAATATCAAGGTAGAAATGTAAAATAAAATTTCCTAAATCATAAAATCAGTCTACTTACTGAACAAAACATAACGAACACATAAAAAATTATATAAAACTGAAATACGAATAAAATGCCTCACTTAAAACCTATTTCATGATTAGTATTCGTAATAAATAAAATTATTTTAGTTATAATGTGTATAATTTGATAATAATCCTTTGTATCATAGTAATTATCGACATTGTTTACAAATTGACACTTCTCTATATCGATTCGAGGAAATGACGTTTTGATTTGATACTCGGGACTCTCGTTGTGAACGTAATACATTGCGCGATCGTTTATGTAGTGCAAAATTGTACGTATCTATTGCAAGCAATGTATTGCTTGCGATAATGTCGATTTTGTCTAGAAACGTCATAATATTAATGTGTTAATTACAAATATCACAAGTATATTCATGTTTTTGGAGTCACTGGTGAAAAGAAATCCCTTCTCGTGCTACATTGCATACCTGACTTATTTTCCGACACATTACAATAGTCCAAGACGGCATAATTTAATATTATTTGCGGAGTTTCGTATGCTGTCACAACAACCGCGACACGCGTGTACCGCCCACAAGGCCGTTCTATCCTCCTTTATATGTTCTGTGATTGGAACAGCATCAAAATAATTTTATTCATATTGTCTAAAATTAGGAAAACATACCTACTGCCCTTACAATGATAATTGACTTTGAATACACCAGGTGCAAATACCTCCCTTAGCTTCCTGTCACCAGTATAATATTATTACACAAATTTGATTAAGGGACGGTTTTTCAATCATCAGTTAATATTTAACCGTAGAATAAAATTTACAGTTATTAGTATGTAAGAATTGTCAAATGTTGAAAGTCATTCCCTAGTTAAAAATAATCTGGCGAACAAAAAATTGGCCCTATTATTACTATTACTAAACAAACTGCCTACATCTTAAAAATGAGAGTGAGGTAGGTTATTGTAATATTGTTCAAATGTCAGAGAGACAATAAGAAAATAAAATACTTACCAATATAACAAAGATCAGAATATTTCGGACCAAACCCATTGTGTTGTGTGTGTTTCCAATATCTATTGAAGTATCATTTTATACATCTTCCTTATCTTTATCTTCTTTATCATTTTCACGCTATTACAATTCACTACATTACTCATATTTGTCTTAAGTGGATTTATACCTAAATATTTTTGTAACATTTTTTTTATTTATTCACTAATGATCTGCCCGCGACTCCGCCTATTTTAAAAGAAATTTATCTCGAGTTTAATCTTGTTGATCAAGTGGTTGCAAATGAAATTTTATCTGGTTCCAATAGAGATTTCTATATAATAGTTTATTTTTGATTTTCGAAAATTTCTTAATAATGCGAGTTCTGAGATTGCGCTATGTACCTATATATGGCAATAGGTTCACCCCCTATGACATGAGACTCATAATATAAATACTCGTACAATGTATTTTTAGTTTAAAAAAACATTGCACTACACTATGTTTTCTCCTGTGTCGTGGGTGCGTTTACAAACATACAGATGTCACCCAATCTAGGAACAACAATTTGTGGATCACACAAACAGTTGCTGCGTGCGGGAATCGAACCCGTTACACGTTGCGCGGCGGCCGGTTGCTTAGCCACTCATGTCGTGGTGGCCTGGAAGACTCTCATGTATGAGAAGCGGGTTTTTAACAGGCTGTTATAAAACGATCTATCTCTAAACTAAAAGAAAAAAAGTTATATAATAAAATATTTATTTTTATTAATATTTATATTCGTAAATACATATGCTATATTATAAATATTGTGTTACATATACACTCATGTTTTTTGTACATTTCGACCTATGAAAAGTTGTAGCTAAAAGTAAGGAACAATATTTATCTATTTATATCTTCTTCTGCAAGAAATAGGAAGGAACATTAAGCTGATAAGGATAATATGAGTCCTTATGGTAGACTCTGACATCCTTGAAGAAAACATTCGGTTGTCTGAAGTAAGCCTCGCGCACGGGGCGGTCGAATGGATATCCGAAGGGTTTGTTGTCCAAGATGTAACTCTCAAATACATTCTCTCCCTTCTTAACACTGTTGTACGGGTAGGCGAACACAAACAGCTGGAATGGAAAACCGCCACGGGTACCCTTGGGCAGCATTAGCCTCCTCGGCATGTTGTCGGGCTGAACTGACATGTCATATGGTACCTTTCCTTGCTCCAACCATTCGTAGATCTCGTTGATGGGAACAGAGTCATCCTTGAAAAGCACAAACTCACTTGATTTGCGTTCGATCTTGTTCTCACCAGGCACAAGTTTTTGCACGAACCAGTCCAGTTCGTAGAACTTCATCCAGTCATCCTCGATGTTAACCGGGTAGCCATTGGCGTGGTATTTAGGTCCAATGAAGATCTTGAAGACGGCATCTGACGCCACATCAGACTTAACATCAAGTTTAACGCTGAAAGGTTTGTGGTTGAGTCGTGGTTGACGGACAATGTAATTCACCGGATAGGCTTTGAGTTCTTCCTTACTGTAGTAGGCGCTGCTGGTGGCATTATAGTCGAAGTAGTCGAAGTAGGTAACTAGTTCGCCGACTTGTACGTCGTTGATCTTAACCCCCACGAAGTGAAGATCGTTGTGGTTGTATGGTTTCACGTACTGCTTGTAATCAATAAGGTAGTCGATGATTCTCTGGTAAAGCTGGTAGAATGCAGGGTCGCGCAGAGAAGTCTGGTAGAAGTCCAATGCGGATGGCATGAAAGAGTACCTAGAACAAACAATGAATCACTTGGTCATAAAATGTTTTAAAATAAGGCTTTATTTTTAAAACGTAATTGTTTCATTTAGAAGTTTATTATGTTTTTTAGCTGGCTACTTTTACTACTAACTGAGACACCCACTTATCGAACGGCTTGGGGCTAGCACCAAGGACGTGACGAGCAATGATTTCATAAGAGTACTGGTGCAGGTCCTTGTTGCTCTGCTCAGCGTATAAGTCGGAGTTCATGTGCCAGTAGTTGCCGACGTAGTTCATTTCTTTCTCGGGCTGAAATGATGAGAATAGAGGTTTTATAGTTTGGTCACAAACAAGTATAATATTTTAATGTCCTATGATTATCATACTTACAGATTTAAATTCAGCCTTCTGCAAGAATTGGAAGAATGTCTTCTCGTAAGTGTCCAGGAAACGAATGTATTCGTAATTCTTTTCATTGTGGAGATTGTAATCGTTGCTTCTCTGTACGAAAGGAGAGGCAACTGAATACAATTGTGGGTAGTATCCAGACTTGAAGTTAGAGTACCACGAGAATTCAGGAATTTCACCCAAGCCATGGGGGAGACGTTCCAAATAGTAACGAGCCAAAAGTTGTTGGTAGTAGTAGAAGAAAACTTCACCGAGACGGTCCTTCAATACACTCCATTTTTCAGACTTCCACCAGAAAGGCATCTGTGAGTGGAAGTAGAAGTAGTACGAGTTCAAGCCGATATCTTCAGTGAAGTACGACAGTTTCTGTTCCTTGTTCGGGTAACTCAAGGAGGTGGAGTAGTTTGCGTAGATGATGTAGTTGTTGTTTTCCTTCACCATACCGTATTGGGCAGCAACTTTTTCATTTATAAAGCCATTTTGCATTTTTACGGAATATAACCTAGACTGAACGTCTTTGTTCATAAAGAACTGAGGATAGACTTCATAAGGTGCCGGGAGAACAATGCCAGCAGTATCTTTTCTTTGGACGATAGCGATGTAGTATGCGTAAAAGAACTGTTCTTCGTTCATGTAGACCTTAGCCCAGGCTGCAGTTTTGTAGAAGGTTTCAAAGTCCTTGGCATAGTACAAGACGTGGAACAGAGCGATGGCTTCATCCCTCATCCGTTCGTAGAAGATGGAAAACTTGTAGTATTTAGGCAGAGTTCCAGTTCTATACAGCAGCAAGAACTCTTCGACGGCTTGTTTGTTCTGTAAATGATAAACATAACAAGGTCAATCAGATAAATAGTGATGAAATTTCCTGATTAAGTTTCTACATTTATCCAATCTTTCAAGTAACTCACCGAGTAGTTCTGAAGGTTTGCTTCGATATCATAGTCCTTGCCAACTTTGTAATAGTCAGAATAGTAATCCGGCTGATTGAAGTGTTCGAAAAGTGCCAAAATCTTCTTCTGGTACTCAACGAATTTGGATTCCACTGTGAACAGAAACCATATTTTTACAACAATGAATCTTAGTTCGAATCATGAGCTGATATTAATTTATTTACTTTCCTTGATCAGAATGATTTACATATCTTTGTAGAACATTGTCTCGTTTGTCTTAAGCTTACTAATACGCATAAAAATTATAAGGTCTCGAATTTTCGGTTTTAAATAATTTCAAAACTAACATAAAGTTCGAAATGGTGCCCAGAAATAATAAAAACACAAAATTATCAACAAAAGTAAACTTATTAAAAAAAACAGAATCTTTGTTCGTGGATAAGTTTACCCAAAAATACAGTTAGTTTCTGCACCTAGTATCTTTAGTAGTCCCATTAAGTAATTACGATGTTTTTGAAATAAATAATATTAAGAGAATTTATTCTTACCAGCCTTCAATTTGATGTCATGGTGGTGTGGGACGCTGCCCATCACCAGGGCGACGAGCCCGACAAGGAGTAAGACAGTCTTCATGGTTGCCTCTACCGCTGACAACTGTACCGCTAGGAGGCTTCATACTCTTTTTATACTACTAGCGCATCCCGTTCCTGAATGCATTCGATTATCTGCTTAAAAATATTTTGCGTTCTTTATCATCGCATTTCACTATCTACCGTGACCCTTGACTTTATGTGGCACTTTTTCTTAACATATTGACTATCGTGATCTGTAATTTAATTATTATAGTAGGAGAGTCCACGACGCTTAATTTCGGTATCGATAATCACGACTGAAACATTCATCCTATTCCATCACAGGGATTTTGAAGATTTAATAATAGAAGTAGAAAATTGTTTTATGACTTTAGCTTCCACTAATGTATGAATAGGATATCGAAAGTTTTTCAAAATTTAAAGCGTAACTTTTATTTTAGTGCATTTGTGTCAAATATTGATGGTGTATGTACTAGTGTACAGACGTATTTATATATAGCTCAAATCTGCCGATTTGCATGGTGGTGTTGACTGGGGAGAAACGAGAAATCTCCAGACTCGGTAAGACTTTGACTCTTATAAATTATGTAGACTAAAGTAGGCAGACTTTTTAAATGCACTACCTTTACCATTGTAATCGACCTCTTTCCCCATAATTTGATGAAACTGCACATTATTCTGTACATTAACTGCACTGAATAATTATTCAGAATAATGTACAGTTAATTTTTGTGTATTTTTTCGTTACCTTTATCTAAATTAGATGTTATTATAATGGTTAGATTCTATAGCGCTCGAGGAACTACCGAAATCCGTTCCCAGGCTCCTTTACTATTATGAGAGAAAAGCATAATAGCAACATTTCTAACGTTACTTGTTCGTCACCAGGTTGTATCTCATGATCCAAAATCGTTCTTACACCTTTTAAATATTCACAATATGATGAATTTCTATTGTCATGGAAAAATACAAATGTTATGGAAAAAGAAATACAAAAAAAAAAGAAACGGGATTTCCATACAATAATCGTGATTGGCTGCTTGTTTTGCTTAATAAATATTTAAAGGGGTCTCTGCATTTTGCACTTTTTATACGAACCCATTGGCTGCTAATTCACATTGGTAAATGTTTTATACCGTTTCATTCTGAGTGTTAATCCACTTGACATTCACAAAATACTATTATTAAGTTAATTCAGCTCTATAGGTATCTCTTAATTTAAATAAAATGCAAGTATGATTTTGTATTAATCGCCAAATACATAAAGTCAAGAGTTGCATCATAATTTACAAGTTCCTATCTGTCTACCTACACTTAACCCAATATTATGTAATGAGATCATTGACCGGTCAGTTATTGTTCGTATTATGTTTTGTTTATATTCTTTGACACCATATAAACATAGGACAATCTTATGTGCAATCTTAACGCACATGGCGATTTTTTACATGCAAAATTTGGTGTGATCTATAATAGAAGCCCGATAATACAGCACACAAAGGTTTCACTACTGAAAAAATATAATCCTTCATTTGGACTTCAGTCCAATCGAGTCAGTAGGGTACTTAATTATTCTATTACTGCTTAAGAAACTTCATACTCATAAAAAATATCCTCCTTTAAATGAGAATTTAAAAAGAGAATTTACATTTAATGACGAATTTTATTTTCTTATATTCCTTTGTTAATTTCTATTCCATAATTAATAGTATATCCTACGACTAATATAAAACAATAGCTGCATGATTTCTCTGATAATGAACGTGATGTCATTTTATAACTATAAAGATAAGAGTATTGGATTACAAAACATACTTCGGAATACATTTTTTATTTTAACATGAGGAAGTTTCTATCCAGAACTGAGTACCCCAGAAACATATCAATGAGTTTAATCATTCAAATTTTCAACTCTTTATATTTACCAGTACTAGTCAGATTCATCACCAACCTCATCATCATTATCACCAACAGCTTATTTACCCACTGCTAAGCAAAGCCTCTTCTCCCACGGAGAAGGTTTGAGCATTAATCACCGCGCTTGCTCAATGCGGGTTGGCCATTACAAACTTATAATTAGAAATTATAAGCCCAGGTTTCCTCACGATGTTTTTCTTCACCGTTTGTCAATGGTGTCTAGATAATCTGAGAAAGTACATATAACTCACAAAAAGTCACATTGGTACTTGCCGTTGGTAGGTTTCGAACCTGCAGGTCGAGTTTTCATGTATGAGGGATGCATGAAAACTGGGCGTCTTAAACCTCCGGGCCACTACGACTATTAACTAGTCAGATTACGATATCCTAATTGCGCTTCGCTGAGAGCTCCAACCATAGGGCACAGCGGACACAGAATTTACAACATAATTTTAGAGTAACGATGAAGTTTCTTACTCGTACACCTTCATTCGAATCTACATTTTGTAATGTTCCTTCCACCGCCTAACTTCACTCACAGATCCACTGACGTACTATTCCCTATTTTTGTAACGTATCAAAAGTTCCTGTGTATGATTTTGTTGAAATATAATGTTTTTCGACTCATGACAATAGTATAGAGTCCCTAGAGTATGTCACTTACAACTGGCTAATCTAGTAATTATTAAGAATAGGCTTTGTTGTGGCAGACGTCTGGTAGCTGATATATGTAATGATGATAATAATATATTTATTTTAAAGAAAGCTGATAATTTATCGCCCCGACTGCTTGTGGACCTTACGATACATACCGAATTGTATAACAAATACTTAAGTACTTAACCGCCAGGCTTATCAGCAGCCTTTGAATGAAATATAAGTAACACAAGACTACGTTATACTTTCTTAATGAAACTGAAGTTATAACATCATCATCATCATTCGCTTTTGCGTTATGTATTGAAAAGGACTGTGATGTGTCTGTGTGACAGTCTCACACTGGTACCGAGTTTAGGCTAAATAAGCCTAAACTCGGTACCAGTGTGACACTGTGACCGAGTTTAGAGAAGGAGGTACAGGTCATAGGTCATATTGGCCCGGATGTTTAGACGCCCGCTTCTCATGTGTCAGGGTAACGTATTGTATCTATGTTTCATCGGACCACCACAGATGGGGCCTAATAGGGCTGATGCCGACACGGAGCCACGGAGGGCTTAACGGGTTGCCGGGGCTCCGGCTCGAAGTGCAGGAGTAGGAACGGGGTAGTATTTAGTCAGTAAGCGTCTGGCACTCTCTCTCGCTTCACCCAGGCGGGAGGAGTCATCGGATAATTATCCCTCGTCAAAAAAAGGGGGTAATGTAGTTCCTAAGATTAATTTTAACAGTGACATGAGGAATCGTGGGCTTTATTTATCTAATTATTTAAAATACCCAATCTGCCTTGTTCAAACCTTCCAACCGAGAAGAGGCGTTTGCTAAAGAGTGAGCACTTATAGGCTGTTGATGTGTGATGTGTGTAATATTAATACCACCATCCTGGATTCCTTGCTACTGTATTTTTTTTTTAAAAAGCTGACCTGACCTCATATTTCATAATATGCGGGTACCGCTAACCGGGAACCGATCCCGTCTTTTGTTTGGCAGATGTTCTTGTGACATCTCCTCCAACAAGGCCCTACAACATGACCAGACATGACAAGACCTAATAAGGTTAATAATTATAATGATCTCCTTTTGTACCTGATCTTATACAAATACCGATTTAAAATACAGTGGTCAACCTTACCTCACCTTTTTCATTTTTTTCCCTGCATCTTTAACACTGCAACATTTTCTTATATTACAGTATTTTAATAATAATTATGTTATTATAATAATAATACTATTTAAAAATGCGTATACAAACAATTGTTAAGAATATTGATTTTGTTCATCTAGAAAATAATTATAGACCACTCAATTTTAATTTGCCTTTTTGTTAAAGTGAAAAAGTGGGACTGCCTCATTGCAGAGTGGTCACAAATCCGAATCAGTGGCAAGGCGGCACGGGTTCGATTCCCGGGTCGGGCAAAACATAACTGGTTTTTTTTAATTGTCAGTAGAAGCACGGAGTCTGGAAATGTCTCCAGTATACGGCAATAGGCTCACCCCCTATTACATGGGACTCATAACATAACATAGTGAAAAGTAGGCATTACATTGTAAAGTGGCATTAAGTACCGTAATACGCACCTCTACCTACCCCTTCAGGAATAAAAGGCGTGAAGTTACGTCATGTTAAAGTGGGAAAATCCTCATGGATAATAAAGTCCTTTAACACTAGTAGCTAATCATTCACCACAAAATCTAATTCTGTTTATGCATTCCAGAATATTTTGATTGACATCATAACAACAAAATGTCAATTACAATTTGAAAATGAGATTAATAATGACCGCTATTCCCTTTAATCTATTTGGAATACTGTCAATCTTTCAATTTGAACTTGTAAATGTGTTTTAGTCTCTTTGACTAGGTCAAGTGGAATACCATTGGAATAAATAACTCGATTGTCTACTAATGTCTTGCAATGTATTAGTTTGAAATAGTAACACTTTATGCAACATTTTGTATGAAAACGAAGTCAAATAAATGTTAGCTTTCTTTTTTTCTATTTATAGAAACCTCTTTATAAAAAATATTCCTTATAGAACAAAATTAAGGTAAATAAATTGCCTTTAATTTGGATTCGTTATACAAATACATAATACTTATATCCGAATGTATTTATCAAGAAATGAAAAAGAAAAACCCCTAGTGGCTTCGTATCTTTGCTCTCAAGTATTTAGCTAGAACACAGTTCGACTAAGAAAATTATTACTGGAATTTTTTGAACTTTAATTAGGTCAACTACCATTTGCAATCTAGATTGTGTGATCAAACACTTTTAACCGAGCAGTATATATGTATATATCATGGGTTAGAATTTAAAATAAAAGTCGTAAATTTTTAATATTTATACATATTATATTATACATAATATCATAATCGTACTACATAAATTCACTCGTATTTTTTGTACATTTCTAATATACTTCTCACTAAATGTTAAAGACTATTTAGCGGCTTAATTTTTTTTCTGGA